TTCCTCTCTGCCGTGTTGTATTTCCAGCAGATGTCCGGGAGGTTGAAGTCCCCCACGAGAACAAGGGCTAGCGATTGAGAGACTTCTGCCAGCCGCTTGTGGAATGCTTCATCGGCCCCTTCATCCTGGTTGGGTGGTCTATAACAGACTCCCAGCAGGATATCTGCCTCGTTGGCCTTCCCCCTCATCCTTACCCATAAACACTGGAGAGGAGAATTTCAGAAACACTCAAACCTTTTGTGTTTATTGAAGAAAGGTTTGACATTCTTGACATGTTGAGGAAGAGAGGTGTCATGACATCCCTGAATGTTGCACGGAAGGAGGGTGTATTAAAATAGAGAGCTTCGTCTCTCAAGCTCCAGCCTTAACCTGCCCAGGAGATGATGGGGTGATGCACGGGGAGTCCCCAGCTCCCTCCTAGGAGCTGTTTTTCAGTCAGGTGATGCAACTTGAGCACAGTGTTAAAGCCACTTAGAGGTTGAAAATATCCTTGGCTAGCATTCATTTAAAAGTGTTAAAAGCAATTTACTGTTATATGTGGGTTTTCTTATGTGCCCTTGTTAGGACTTTTGTAGACAAAGAAGGATGTATTCAAATTTGCAATGCTTTCACTTCATGAGTGTATTGCAAATCTTAAGCAATTACAGAGTAGACGTTAAAATCACTAATAGTTTTAATGCTTTTTTCTCTCCTGCTGCTGAGATGGCTATTTAGTAACTCATGACCAACTGGGGTGAGCAATCAGTATGTGAGACTTTTTTTTTTCTTCCAAAGAATAAGCTGTGTACTTACTTCAGTTTTGTGATGAAACAGCAGAGAGCTTGTTTCAAAAAGGACTAAACGATCCTTTGTTGTCGTGTGTATGAAGAGGCATTATCAAGCTCAGTGGGGTTGTCTCCACATGATAACCAATGCCCAGTACTTGGCTCTAGGCCATGTATAAACTGGTTAAGCAAGTACCTGCATCTCTTTGAAAATCTGACCTTGGTTTCTGATGCATGTTTTAGAGTATGTTGGGTTTTTCTTTTGTTAATTCTCAACTGTTTCTAACGTAGCAGCCAAAGAATGTGAGATAAGCTGACCAAAGGAGGAAAAAAAAGGTAGATTTTTCTTTTAAATGATCATTTTGGCTTGTGTTCAGGCT